TCCTGTAATTGATTCCATTTTACATGGCCTTGCAAGCAGTGTTGGGCAGTAACGCGTTACTAGTAACACGTTACTGTAACGCAGTTACTTTTGACAGTAACTAATACTGTAACGCATTACTTTTTAAATAAATTAACTCCGTTACCGTTACCATATGGCACGTTGTCCGTTACTTTTTAAAATTAATTAGTTGCTGGAGCGGCTGAGAAGTGTGCGCTGTCATTACACAGTACGAGAGCACTGAAGAGACTGCTAGCATTATACAGAGCGAGAGGATACCTGAGGACACATAACAAACTCACTGGCTGAGTTGTTTACGTACACGTGTGAGGCAGCGCGAGCACGGAGATTACAAGCTGCACGGAGAGCGCTGAGCACTTGATGCGCATTTAAAACACAGACAGCGAAACGGTATGAATACAGAACACTTAAGTACACATTGCCATATCATTATAAAGTAATTAATTTTTTGACTAGATGCTGCATCAGCAGAGAAAGAACAGAAGCTTGCCGTCGAGTCTGAGAGGTATAACATTAGTAACGGCTAACTTACCTCAAGCGATTAAAGCAATGTGACAAAAACACACGCAGACCTGACCCACATGTTTTATGTCGCAATTGTTACCATCTATTTGCATTAGTTTATATCCAGCTGGTCACTTTTATGCATTCATTAGCCAGCGAAGTTGTATTTTTAAAACTAGTGACGTGATTGATTGCTTACATTGATATGTTCATGCAGCCGACATCAAGTCTAATCAAGTGTTCTAAAATTTAAGCAAATAAAGTGAAAGACTGTACATGTAATATAGGTCTACATTTATGTAATTTTAATGCTCTGGCCTTTGCAGATATTTAAATATGGCCATCTTCTTCAAGCTTGAATCATATAACGTTAAATGGTAACACTTTACAATAAGATTACAATTTTAGCATTAAATATGGTTAATAAATGTTGTAGAAGTATCATTCATTGTTAGATGTATTTGTATCTCCTTAGTTAATGTAGGCCTACTATGAACTAACAAGAATGATCAAGGTACAATTGTATTGCTCAAATATTAATTCATGCAGTAAAAACCACAGTGGTAAAAACGTATACTGTCAGCTGCATGAACATATCAATGTTGAGAAAGCAAACAAGTCACTAGCTTTAAAAATGCTTGTTTTGTTATTTATTTCAGAAATCCTTGATATATTCAGTTTGTGCTGGTCTGACTTAAATAAAATAGTGCTTAAAAATTACTTTCTGTTTAAGTCAGTTTTGTGTTTGTATAGACCATAACGCATGAAAGGGCATTAATGGGAACATTTAAGAACTTTCTTTAAAAAAGTAACTAAAAAGTTACTTTTAACAGTAACGCATTACTTTTTGGTGTAAATAATCAACAAAGTAATTGAGTTACTTTTTGAATGAAGTAACTAGTTACTGTAACTAGTTACTATTTCTTAGTAACTACTAGTACAACACTGCTTGCAAGGCTGACTGCTTAAACCCTCTAAATGTCATTCAATGCAGCTGATTGAAAATGTTGGTGAAGTTTCATTGTCTCATGTTAGATTAACTAATAATTGGAATTGGGTCCTGGAGTGTAATGTACGTTATCAGCTAACCAATCTGGACCATGGGATATTAATATCAGCATTTAACCACACTTTTTCCTGTTTATAGGTATTTACATACCATATGTGTCAAAGCACCTTTTCTGTGCCACATCTGCAGTGTGAATCAATTTAGTTGGCCAATCAGGCATCCTCGAAGGATCCTAATATTTCTTCTGGCTGTCAAGCCCTTCCTCCACTATACCACCTTTTTCTAGCTTTCATCAACTTAAGAAACATTCATATGCTCTCCTTTCCTCTGCTTTCTTGCTTCATTTATCCCATTCATCTGTCAGTAGTTTTTCCTATGTGCATGTCCATGTGCCGCCTCCCGGCTCGACTCCAAGAAAACAGAAGTGTAGGTGAATCACTAATGGAGTCATTATCAGGTTCCACTCGTTTAAAACAACACAATTAGCGCTGCAGTCTTAATGATGCTTGCAAAGGGAAGTTCAGTGCACTGAGGAGACTCCATCCAGGGCCTTCACCAACCTAATAAATCACGCAAGTTAACTTACAAAACTAATATACCGCATGTGTGTGTGCACAGTAGTCTGTGTGATTTATTATTTTCACCCTGCGAGACATCTGTTACAGTGCTCCTTATTTTTGTAATGCATCATCAGCCAGGGGAAAAAATAATATTATCCAATCTGGGATCAGCTCTCTCTGGAGTCTAATAATCTAATGTAGAGCTGCTATCAGTGAGCCACCACAGACACGCTTCAGGGAGCAAACAGGCTTCGGTGATTTCTGTCTCAGAATCTCTAGCATTCATTATATATGCCAGTGTGTGACTGTAGAAGTGAGTCTGTAAATAGAGAGTTATAATAGCATGATTCCGACCATAAATTATATTCAATGAGCTACATTTGAGGTGTACTAATACTAATTAAGGAATATCACGCACAAGAGTGCTGTTGTACTGAATATAAGAACAGGTAATTGTTGTTAGTGTGATGATGCTTGTATACAACAGTTCTGTGTAGAGGCGTTGTGTGCGCTGTCTAAACAAGATGCTTATTATAGTTCTAGACTAAATGTGAGCATGCATTTACTTATCTCAAATGCAGAAAAACAGATTCAGTATTCCTCATAATATTACGCAAATCTGCAACAATTAAATGTGTTCAATAAAACAAATGCACTTAAAGGGATAGTTCACTTTGAAATTAATTTTTGGTATGTTTTAGCTTACCTCAAGGGCATCCAACATGTAGGTGTCTTTGTTTCCGCAGTATTTTCAATTTTGATATTTTTAGGTCAAACCGTTCTTGTCTGTCAGTCATATAATGCAGGTCTATGGTCACCACCTCAAAGAGCATGCACAGAGAAGTCCAAATTAAACATGATTTAATGACTCGTAAATGTAAGTACACATTGATGGCCTAAGACACGAAACGAGCGGTTTGTGTGAGAAAACGAACAGTATTTATATCGTTTTTACCTCTTGTAAACACAGCCACGTCCAAGTGATCTGAGGGCGCCGGCGCTTCGGTATTTTCCGGCATGCGCCGGAAGTGATCTCGCGCGTGTACGTCACTCATACAATTGTTTTATTTTTTATTTTTTTTAATTGTTTTCTTTTACGACGGTTTAAACATCCCGGATAAGCGCAAATTAGTACCATTTTAATTAGCCGTCTTAATCTCTGTTCTGTGTAAACAATGAGTGACGTACACGCGCGAGAGATCACTTCCGGCGCTTTCCGAAAAAGACCGAAGCGCCCGCGCCCTCAGATCACTTGGACGTGGCTGTGTTTACAAGAGGTAAAAACGATATAAATACTGTTTGTTTTCTCACACAAACCGCTCGTTTCGTGTCTTAGGCCATCAATGTGTACTTACATTTACGAGTCATTAAATCATGTTTAATTTGGACTTCTCTGTGCATGCTCTTTGAGGTGGTGACCATAGACCTGCATTATATGACTGACAGACAAGAACGGTTTGACCTAAAAATATCAAAATTGAAACTACAGTGGAAACAAAGACACCTACATCTTGGATGTCCTTGAGGTAAGCTAAAACATACCAAAAATTAATTTCAAAGTGAACTATCCCTTTAATCTCATTTTATTGACCGATGTCTTTGACCTTCGATTTATCCAATTCAAACACATAAGCAAAAATTACTTTAGATAAGCATCACATTTGTGTTTAATTTTTTTTGTCTTTTCTTGCATCCTATTCTTCTGTGATTCAGAATGGCAGCAGCTTGAAAGGTTTGTTTGAGCTGCGCCCTCTACTGTATAGGCGTGGATTTGCATTTCCTTCAGCTCGAGGCTTAATCATTTCACTTTTGGCATGAAAGGGCCTTGACATTTGCCAAAAATAAAATTTTGTTAATAAAAAAACAAACAAGCAAGCCCCAACCAGGTGAGAAAACGTCACGTAAAAGTAGCATTACCGCATTTCTTTCAATAAAAAGTAACTAAGTAGCGCAATTAGTTACTTTTTAGGGAGTAACACAATATTATAATGCATTACTTTTAAAAGCAACATTGCCAACACTGTCTGAAGAAATTATAGTGAGTCACTTACCAACAAAGTATTACAAGTGTGTATATTTGTTATTTGCTAATAAAAATAGTGCCAGAAGAAGCCAAAGCATAAAAATGTGCATGTCAACCAGTCTAACCGAGACGTTGCTGTGAGCATATAAGACATGCTGCTGCTGCACATGTAACATATACATGATTTAACCCCCTTAGCTGATCTATACAGGTGGAGCTGGGGAAGGTGGAGGGTTTCTGAAAGCACGCTGCATACTGCTAACAGCAACACACCGGTATTTGTTTGAAAGTTGACGCAACCGCTACCAATCAGCTGTGCTATGATGTGATCGCTACCAAATAAGTTAGATATATCAGCCTGCGCCATCTAGAGTTTCATGCCAGAACTAGGTATTTACTTGAAATATAAAATTTATTGGTGAAATAAGGCAATAGGACAAGCAAATATCTGCATTGTATAGTAGTTTAATAGTATCATTAAACCTCTTGAAGTTATTATTTCATCCCACACATTTAACACGTAAACATAAACAAGGCATTGGATCACTTGCGCAGCCATATCTCTCTTGCGCGGTTTCACAAAATTAATGTCCATTTTTATACTGTACATTATGATGTTCTGATGCCTAAATTTACATTTAAAATGACTTATTTTAGTTTTTAGTGTTTTTTATTCGTTTTTAGTGTTTAGTTGTTTTGACATAATCATACAGAACTTTAATATTAACTTGAATATAATTATTGGCATAACGCTATCGGACAGAATATCAATGTCAGTGCATCACTAATCCGTTCTCAATTCCACGCCACAAACACAGACAAGCAAAGTGATATAAACAGGGAAACGTTACTAGGTTGTTTTTTGGTCTTGGTTCTGTGTCAGTGTATAGGTCAAAATGAAGAGCTTTGTGATCTGCGTGAGGAGATGCAGCGCTGGCAGCAGGAGACCCTGGAGCAGAAGGAGAGCCGGGTGAAGGAGGTGCAGGACCTTAAGAGAGAGTTGCAAAGCACACAGATTCTCCTGCAGCTGCACAGAGATAACCTGGAGAGTCTGCACCGACAGCAGAGAGACACAGAGGACGAGGTGAGGCAGCACAGCCGACTTCAGTTTCACTATAACCCAACTTCTGTTTCTAAATATAAGTGTTTGTGTGTGTCAGGCCTTCTGCAGGGAAGCAGCTCTCCACAGTCAGGATGCAGAGATGGTTCAGCTGAAGTCAGATCTATTGGAGGCTGAGAAACTGGCCACAGATGCTGAGGCTCGACTACAACCTCTTAGTGAATCCCTCGAGTTCTGCAAACACAAGTACCAGGCCTGCCTCAGCAAGATCGCCCAACTAGAGAACACTCTGCTTAGCCGAGAGGAGGACCTGAAAGAGGCCCACAATCAGGTTGGTACTTAAATTAGTCTTAGTTACCTTTAGAATTAAGTCATTGCATTGCAACTAGTGATGCACAGTATATTGATATCATTACCATCCAGCGTACACTACCGTTCATTTGGGGTCAGTATGATATATATATATTGTTTTTTAGAAATTAATACTTTTATTCAGCAATAAATCTTTAAAAAATGAGAATAAAGACTGTCACTTTAAGGTTAAGGTTACTAAAGATTTCAAATTAATGCTGTTCTTTTGATCTTTCTATTCATCAAATTATCCTGAAAAAAAGTATCACAGTTTCCAAACAAAATGTTTGTTCTTCTTATTCATTTAAAGACTTTTGTCGATCTTCGACTCGTGCGTGTGTGACTACAAGTGACTGCAGAAAATCAGCATATTAGATTTCTGAAGGATCATGTGACTAAAGACTGGAGACATTTGCCATTACAGGAATAAATTCCTTTTTGAAATATATTTAAATACAAACCAGTTATTTGAAATAGTGATAATAGTTCATATAAATACTATTTTTACTGTATCTTTATTGGTAGTGCATAACCGCATAAAGAAAACCATCACATTACTGTACATCATCAGTCTGTCTCGTTGTACTGTACTTGCAAACGGGCCTAAAATTAACAAAATATGTCAAATATGACGCCCTAGGATGAGAATGCGTTGAAATATTCAAGTGCAAGAAGACACGAAAGGGAGCACATTATTTGCAAATACTAAGTCGTCCTAATTCATGTCGTCTTGTGCTTGAGCGGACATATTCACACAAAATTAAGTAATAAAATTGTATCCTAGTCGGTTATGTCTTAAGTGAACATAAACAGTTGAGAAAGTAAACGTATGTGAATCAGTATATTAGATCCGTGCATTCGCTCTTAAAGTGACAGCAAACAACAAAGGACAAAAAAAAATCAATCACTGATCTTGACTGAATAACTTTTATAACTTTAATTAGGATTAATAAGAATGTATAATTTTCAGACTATGCAGTGTTATTTTACATTTGCGTACTGTATTAAATTTCTTTACCTGAAAACTACTGTTAGACCAACCTGAAAAGCACTGCTTATTTCATTTGAATATTTGTTATATTGTATTTATTTGTGCTTTTGTTTGTAATTTTGATTAATTGTTCTTATTTTATTACTGACTGTTTACTTGTCTTTAATAATGATAATATTTAGTTAGGATAGTAGTTTTAGCTGTGGTCTTGAAATTAATTGTCAATCTGGTGTAAGTGAAAGATTTACTGAAAGATTTTGGTGTTATTACAGCCTGTTTTTACAAAAATATTTTCATGGCCGGTAAAACATATTTATGGCCGGTGCATTTTCTTAAGTCACCAGCCATTCGCAGGTGTGGCAAAAAAAAAATTTGTTTTAGGCCTTGCTTGCAAATATCAGCATTACTATTAATACAGGTTTCATATTGGAGTGAACAAAGACCAAAGACTTGATTTATAAAAATCTAGCTTTCTGCAACATTTTTGAGCTACAATACTCTGAAGCTAGAGGCTGTATAATGAATTACTGAGAGCAGACATCAGTGCTGATAGTGATATGTGTTTGTCTGTGTGGCTGACTGATTTGGTCTCCTCAGGTGGCCCAGAGGGAAGAGCAGGTCCTCCGTCTGAGAGCTCAGGTTGTAGCTCTGCAGGGGGATCTGCAGGTACACTGCACCCAGCTGGAGAGCGGAGACGATGCCCTTGCCACGCTGAGCCAGAAGCTCCGAGATACACTGGAAGAGCTGGAGCACAGGCGTAATCACACAGAAGAGTGTGAGCTGCTCATCCACACACTCAGAGACACAGCTGCTAGCCTTCGTCGACAGGTAGCCCAACCGGAAACACCATTAACTAAACCATAGCTGAACAGGTCTGTCTCTTCGCAGTGACCATGATTTTAAGTAAGATCAAACATCTTGGTCATTCCTGTCCAACAAATGTAGTCCTAACCCTACCTCTAATCCTAAGCATTAAGAACCACTAAAAGCAAAGAGAATGAAAGGAATCTGACGAGTTGGTGTCTAGGTCATTGATGAATAAGAACTTTCATGAAAACATCTTCATTATCAGTATTCTCACCATCAAAGTTTTAAATATTACTTGTGTAATATAGCAGTTAAATAAAGGTCTGCAAAATTTTAAAGATCAAAGTTCTCAACAAATAAAGTTATGGTCTCCTAAAAAAAAAGAATAAATTCTGAACTGCTGAAATGGGTCATCAGCCAATTCAGTGTCACTTCTTGACATATTCCTCACATTTGCATAATGCCAGCCTATGGTCTTCATCTTCTTTGGCCCACCCTCTAACACTAGTTCTAGCTGAGGCCTGAAAGTGTTTGGTTCGTGTAAACATGTCGAGAAGAGGCTTTCTGTGCAGCGAAAGCAAATCCACTTTGCATGCACTTCCAAATGATGAGGACTCGTGCTGACATTGATATTGTAAATCAGATCCCATCATTACCATTCGTATCACTGTGTATCAAGCACTGAGGAAGTCTCCAGAGTCGAGATTCAGATATGGTAATGGACGTTTCATTTCCAATACATGCACAGTCAACCAATCAAAACTGACTGGGCCATATGACCAATCAGAGCAGAGTAGGCTCTCTGAAAGGAGGGGTTTAGAGAGACTGAATCCTTTATCAAACGGTTTCAGACACTGTGAGAAAAAGAGGTGATTATGCAATGTATATTATGAGAAAATTAAAGTGTATTTTGACTTGGATGCATGTAGATCTATTGTAGGAGACCTCCGAAACAAAACTAGGAAACTTTTAATACGGCTTAGAAAGCACACGACGATGGAGATGGTAAGAAATACAGTCTTTAAACGAATAACAAACTCAGAAGACAAACAATAACCGACAACGACTGAACAGAACAGGAAGTATAAATACACATAGTAAATGAGGACACTAAACAGAAACTGGACAAAGATGAACTAAACAGAAACCAACTAATTGAGAACTCATACAGACACGACAGGAATGACTAAACAGAGCATAATTGTGACAAAAACACCATAATTTTTTCTTTACTATCTTCATCATGATATATGGCCAGTTGTCCTGAAAAAAATATAGAAATGAATATTAATGCAGTAAATCGAAACATGCTCATAAAAGAAGTGTTGTATTTAAGACATTTTATGTATGAATGAATAGCATTTTAATGTGTTTTTGAAACAATATTTAGATCCAAACAAATCTATGAGCATCATGTCATTGACTCAGAAATGTTTTTCTAGGAATGTTGATCCAAGAAACGTGTCCTACTTTGGCTAAATCACCATATTTTCACTCCTGTGAGCTATTAAATTGAGTATCGTGGGTCCCAGAGAGATGCTGCAGATTTGCACTATGAATGCCCCATAATGCAACAGACTTAACACACTCATCTCCTCCCTAGAGTTGAATTCTGTTGGGTTTAGATTGCCAAATGAAACCTAGTTACCACATGTACAGGTGGAAAGTGTCTTGTTAGTGCAGCTTGAGGTGTGAACACAATGGGGAAGAGAATCTACGCCACTCTACGGGTGCAAAAGCCAATCTGAGCTTCAGATACATTTGAGTGTTCTGACTGGATTGTATCGATCCAGGTCAGAACCCTCACGCTTCATGCTATGTGCGGAGAGAGCATTTTCAGGTGTTTCATTTCCCACAGTGTCAGCTGGAGAGCTGTGATAGGCTCTCTTGAGGAATTCTGGGAGTTGAAGTTGTTATTGATTTGTAGTTGTTGGGTAAAGATAGCGTGTGTGGCCCTTTCAGACAGCTCGGCTGGTGTTTAAATGGACCTGAAGTTGTTTTGATTTGCGTGTACATTGACCGGGAGGGGCGGCCGGTTGGCGTAAAGTGGAAAAGCCTGCTGGGTCTGTGGTGTCTAGTCGAAATAATGGGCATTGCTCTCAGCGGTGGAGGGACAGGCCTTGTCCTACAGCCCAGCGGTGCAGTCACCTCTGTCGGATACAGTGCACACTAGGTGTGAGGACCTTCCTGCCCTACCTTCCCGTTCCTTTTCTCCTCTAGCACCTCCAGCATCTCCTCTCAGATGTCTATGATGCTCAGCGTCCCATTAGCAATCCCTAAACATCACACTCATGTATGCTATATTGATCCAACTGTTTTCAGTCAGGACCTCAGAACACACACGTCCTTCAGCCGTTCGCCCATGTCTCCTTCCTCTACGTTTAAGCTTCCCTTAATTGCTCCCTCTTACTCAAAACCTGCTGCGCCCCGGCATTACAGCACATAACCTTCAACAGTGTGAGAAGGGAAGTTTCCTTGATGTGATGTAAAACATCACATCAGTCAATCACCTCACTCTTTTTTCATCTTCAGTGGGAGCTGTCGGCAATAATAATACTCTTAAAGGAGAAGTTCACTTCAGAATTTAAATGTCCTGATAATTTACTCACCCCCACGTCATCCAAGATGTTCATGTCTGTCTGTCTTCAGTTGAAAATAAATTAAGGTTTTTGAGGAAAACATTACAGGATTTTTCTCCATATAGTGGACTTCAACGGGAACCAATGGGTTGAAGGTCCAAATTGCAGTTTCACTGCAGCTTCAAAGGGCTCTTTGCGAGGAATAAGGGTCTTATCTAGCGAAACCATCTGTCATTTTCAAAAAAAAAAAAAAAAAAAAAACATGTTTATACTTTTTAACCACAAATGCTCTTACACTCAATGTAAGATTATTATTTTTTAATTAGGTCTATATTTTCTGTCTATTTATTTCTTGTCTGCATTGTTCATATGTAAGGCACCTTGAATTGCCAGTACGATATCATGTTCTATATAACCTTCCTTGCTTATTCCTAGCTCATCGTCGATTTTGTCTTTCTCAGAACAACAGCAACAGGCAGTGTGACATAACGAAATATTATCTTCGTTAAGTCTGAGGCCATTTGGAACTGTTTTATATTCAGTCTTCAGTTCTGACAGCACTGTGCTGGACTGATTTATCTTTCTCATAAGGAAGAACTTAACAGGCATTAGGTCCTGTTATCAGACCTTACTCTAACTGAAGAAGATCAAGACCAGATCGAGACTGAGCTGCTTATGGTTTTGCATGCTGTTTTACAGTTCAGAATAATAACTACCCAGACTTTCTGTCCAGAATACTGCTTATTTCCCTATTCTATAACACACAATAAAGCGCATAATCATGGCTCATGAATATTAATTAGATGACAGATCATTTTTCACCTACTTAATATTCAGTAGACTTGGTAATTGGGCACAAGTGGCCTTTGGGGTTATTCAAGATATATATATTTTAATATACGTGTTCCCTAGGAATGAAACCTATATGACCATGGTGTTTCTAGCACCATGCTTTACCAATAGTTACAAAAATACAGTTTTATCACTTTTATCACAACATAAATTTGAATGTGTGAACAGTCTGTTGCTGGAAATATGGATTTCCAGCAGGATTGTAAATCTAAAGAACTTTTGAGAGCTGAATGTGACCGATTGTGTGTGTATGTGTGTGTCTTCTAGGCTGAAGAGCAAGAAGAGACGCTAGTGAAGACACAGGCTGATTTTTCCATCTACCGAGCCACTCACATCCACTCCGACTCAGACTACGAATCCCAGCTGTCCCGCGTTCAGGAACTAGAGCAGGTGAGTGAAGCAATGTCTTTGTAGTTGAGAAAAACGCCACATGCCACACTCACATCTGCATGGATCCATCACTGTAATCTCTGCCTGTTACAAAAATGGGCTTTAAATGGACCCACCTGCTCCCCGTGTCACACGTTACTGTATTCATTGACACTGTGCAACTCGGGGACTATTTATCAGTCATGAGCTGAGGCTTTGATTGGATCCGGAGAGGCTTCGTGCAAGTTCATGGGCACCTTTGTGACTAATTGTTTGTTATGTCAGCATGGCAGCCAGCCATCCAGCTTTAATGGAGTGTAGTGGAGCGATCCATCAGGCTGTCAGAGAGCTCGCACGTCAGCCCGAGTGTCAGCGGTTCGTCGCACTCTACGCAAACGGCGACGTGATTTAGTGCCCTCCTCGCGCCACTGCCCACCCGCTCCCCGTTCTCAGATTGATTACCCTCCGGTCCCGCTGACAGTGCCCGCCATCTTCTGGCAACCTTTTAGCAGAGTTTTATAGATGATTCCAGCACCTCGTTTGGCTATTTATACATCTGTAAGTGGCCATGAAATATAGATTTGTCTTGACACATGTTCGAGTTGGAGTGGCGAGTCCCAGCGCCTCGTAACACCTCGTTATTTTAATAGTGCCAAACGAAGGGCCCCCGACCTTGCCCGTGTTCGCAGATTATGCCTGTACTTTATTAGTTTCGCAATCAGATCTCGCTCAAACCTGTCCCGTTTGCACACAGCAGACGAGAGCATGGTATGTGTTACCCGCACCGTTGTGACACACCGCTTCAGCTGTCAGGTCGACGTTCACACACAACCTGGTTGCCAGGGTAATTAAGAGATGGTACGGCATCCCAGAGACTTAATTGAATGGTTAGCGTGTCACAAGCGCATGCCGCCGGATTGGAGGCGACACCTGTCAGAGACAAACCTTGTGTCGCAACCTCGGCAGGCGTATGTATACGTGCCACAGTGAGGATGCTAAATGAAGGCCAGGTTGGAGTGGAATGGAGTCGAAGAGGCGAGCGGAAGCAGCGGGCGTAGCGATAGCCTTAGGGATGGAGACAGCTTGGGGGATTCTTATCCACCTTAGGTTGGCCCCTCCAGTGCCCCGGGCATCAACACGACTCCCCCAAGGCACAGTCACAGAAGTTTGACAGCTGTGTGACGACTTGGCATGTTAGTGGAGGTGTGTATGTGTTTGTCCTTAGGCACTGTTCCAGTCGCTGGAGCGCTGCGGTCAGAGCGCCCAGGAGATGCGGGTCTGCCAGCTGGAGTTGGCGCGACACCGACAATACAGTCCGGCAGGTGAGTGAACTCGCTACTCAGTGGCTACGTTTACATGCAACCAAATAATCCATTAGTAAACGGATTGATGGGTCAATCGGACTGAAAAGCCTCCATGTAAACACCTTAATCAATCCGATTGAGCTCGAATCGCATGACATTTCGATCGGATTGAAACGGGTGGTTTATTCCTTTTCTAACACTTGATCGGATTGAAAACCGAAACTGAAAGGACTGCGCATGTGCAATGACGTTAAAATAGCGTCATGACGTATGACGCGCGGAACGAGCTGTTGAATAAAGTGTCATATTAGTGTCCCGTCATTCTAAAATTCTCCTTTCTCCCAGTGTCTGTAAGGTGGAACAGATTTTAAGCTTGAGACATATAAACGCGCACATCAACCCGATCACATGTTTAGCGTTCATGTAAACACTAACAATCGGAATGAATTCAGTCCGATTGAAACAAAAGTTGTGCATGTAAACGTAGCCACTTCCTCACTCGATTCTACCACAGATTCTGATCAGCTGTGTGTTGCAGAGATGCAGCGACTGCAGGAGCCGGTGAAGAAGCTCCAGGCGGATGCAGCGGACGAGGGCCGGAGACGAGCACAAGCTGATGCTCTGGAGCTGAAGGTAGCCAATCTGGAAGGAGAACTACAGGCAGCTCAAAGGCAGTGTGACCAGGTAAACAAGTACACACACACACTCACAGGTGCAGATCAGAAACGCTTTGCCTATGGCAGAATCTCACAGCCACTCTCTCTCTCAGGCTATCCAGAAGAGAGACGCCCTACTGAGACAGTCCGAGGCTGATCTTCTGCAAGCGCGGGAGAAGATCCGAAGCAGGGCGGCAGAGGCTCGAGGGCTGGAAGCTGATCTGCAGAGAGCCAAGAAAGAGAAAAGGCAGAGGGAGAAAGAGTGCGTCTCACTCAAAACGCAGCTGCTTCAGCTCAGAGAACAACTGAAGGAGGCTCACACCACTTGCAGAGAGACGGGTAACAGTGCAACACCTGTAGAGCTCACATGGTGGACTGCCATGATGTGAATAATTGTAAATATACGCTTTATTGATATCTTCGAAAGATTCTTACCTGAAACTTCAAATGCAGCAGCCCCGAAAAGGTTTTAAGCCGCCCTTAAAATTAATGTCATTGCTTTGCCAAGTGGCAATCATTTTAAAGAAAGGTAGCACATCTTTCATGCAAAACAGTTCACAAAAAAGTGATTGATATACTGTCCTGACACTTTCGTGTTGTCATACGCTACTGGATCGTGTTCATAGTTTATGTCATGAACTACACATGTGGTCACTCTACTAGGACACATCTACTAAAACCACCTTGGCACCAGTTGATTAATAATCATTAAAAAAATGGCTAAGAAAAGTCAGTTTGTTTGCAAGTGCCACTTGAAATGTTTTCATAATTAAGTGCAACTTAAAGGGATAGTAGGGCCTACTCAAAAAAAATGAAAGTTCTGTTATTAATTACTCGCGCTCACGTTGTTCCAAACCCATAAGATATTTTATCTGAGAGATTTCTGGCCCTTCCATTGAAAAAGTTCATAAAGACACAGTAAAAGTAATCCAAATGAATCGAGTGCTTTAATCCAAGTCTTATGAATAGACGCGATCGCTTTATATGACAAACAGATGCAAACATTAATACATACAAAATTGTAAACTATTGTAAACAGAAGCTCAGAAGTGCTTGCTTAACAACCATGAAAATTCATGCTGGTACAATTTGGTCATTTCAGCAGGACCAAAAGAGAAAAGCAAATGCATTTAAATCTGTGTGATAGTGCACTTGGGTTTGTCAGAGTATGTGTGTGCACCTGTTTGTGTTCTCCAGCAGTCTGAGTGTCCCGTCTGAAATTAATAAGACCATCAATTCAGAGCCTCCAGCCATCAGATACATAAACATTTTAACACACGCCACTGTGGGAATGATGCTTATTAGAAACAATCAACAATATATATCATTGTATACCCTGGAATGGTATATAAAAAAAGCAAACATGGACTTTGTGTATACACTGGTTTTGTGTATATACACACACAAACACACATAAATATGAATATAAATAAATATATATATATATATATATATATATATATATATATATATATATATATATATATATATATATATATATATACGGTGGTGGCCAAAATTATTAGAATGGTAAGATTTTTTAATGTTTTAAAAGAAGTCTCTTCTGCTCACCAAGGCTTCATTTATTTAATCCAAAATACAGCAAAAACAGTAATTTGTGAAATATTTTTACAATTTAAAATAACTGTTTTCTATTTGAATATATTTTAAAATGCAATTTATTTCTGTTTTGGTAAAGCTGAATTTTCAGCATTATTACTTCAGTCTTAAGTGTCCCACAATGCTTCAGAAATCATTCTAATATGATGATTTGATGCTCAAGAAACATTTATTATTAGTATCAATGTTGAAAACAGTAAAAAAAAAAAAAAAAAAAACAGGATTATTTGATGAAAAGAAAGTTCAAAAGAACAGCATCTGAAATAGAAAGATTTTGTAAAATTATCACTAGCATTCAAAAGTTTGGGGTCAGTAAGAGGTTTTCTTTTTTTTTCTTTTTTTTACTATTATTGATTCCTGAAAAAATGTATCATGGTTTCCACAAAAATATTAAACAACAAAAACTCTTTTCAACATTGATAATAATAAGAACCGTTATTAATAATTGAGCACCAATAATACGTGATAATAATTCAGCCGTAAATTAGCATATTATAGTTATTTCTAAAGGGTCATGTGACACTGCAAACTGGAGTAATGATGCTGAAAATTCTTTGCATCCCAGGAATACAAATTTTAAAAACATTAAAACAGAATACAGTTATTTCAAATAGTAATATTTCTCAATATTACTTTTAATGTGTTTACTGTATTTTTGATCAAATAAATGCAGCCTTAGCAGAAACATTTTTGTTATGCTGGTTGAAAGGCAATGATACGATGTCCTACCTGGCTATCAACGTATGTATTTCCATACCTCCGCGCACCTGCTCGCGCAGACATCACAGCAGCCATCTTTTACAAGTTATACCTGAACCAAAACAATGAGCTTATGCTGCGTTCATGCCATAATTCAGAAGGAAACCTGTGACGTTATACTCAGAGCGGTTTGTGACTTGAATTTATGCGTTTCAATGGCAACACTGTCAACGGCGAAATGAATCTGCAGCAGTCAGGTACTTTTTCAGTTGTTCAGTTCATGTTCATTATTATGGTAATGTTATGTGGTTTTAGACATAAGGTAATTTAACGCTGTGTCTCGTGATGCTTTTGTTTGCTCTGCTGAATGCCTTCATGTGTTTTGAAGGAGGCGTGGCTCTGAAGGGAGGGTGGGATCTTATGATTACAAAGCTAGCTCGCTATTGCTAGCCTCTCCAAAAACTGCCTACCCTACCTTAATGAGACTTTAAAAAAAACTAAAAAAATGTACCTACCCCAAACTTTTGAATAGTAGTGTATATACAGTGTGTGTGTGTGTGTATATATATATATATATATATATATATATATAAATTGTTTTACAAATCCAAAAATCGGACACTCTTGAAGTGAGGTCTTCACAGATATCATGGTTTATATGTGTGTGTGTGTTTTAGGCCAGGAGCTGACGCGGCAGCAGGAGATGGTCCAGATGCTGGAGGGAGGTCAACATCTGGCTCAGGAGCAGCTCTCCGAGCGTGTGGCCGAGGTGGTGCGGGCAGAGAAAGCCCAGAGGAGACTGCAGGCAGAGCTCAAGAGAATAACAGACAGTCTGGAAAACACCCAGCAGGAGCTGCAGGACTCACGGTAAGCTCCAAACCAGGAGGTCTGCTTGGTCCAGTTAGCCCCTGCTCGTAGATACCATAACTACACCCTTATATTGGGGGAAAAAACAGGTTGTTTATGACTCAAATCATTAGCCGCGTTTCCACTGCCGGGCCAGGGCCGAGCCGTGCTAGTGCGTGCCAGAGCCAGTCGCGTTTCCACTGTCACTTCCGGGGCTTACTCGGGGCCAACGGCCAGGATTTCTGGCCCGTCGAATACCTTGGGCCAAAGCGGGCCAGCTCGGGCTAGAGGCGTGGTCAAGGTAAAAGGCGGAGTTTATCGGTGTTATGGAACGTTATGATCTGAAGCAAGATGCACATTTCACTTTTTTATATCGCGCAAAATAATCGCTGCTCGAAATGGTGAATCGCCTGTACTGGTCTGTCGAAGATACCAAAGCTCTTCTGAGCATTTGGGCAGAAGAAAGGGTAAAACGTCAATTTGACGGCGTGTGAAGAAACGAAGACGTTATAAAATACATTGATGCTGAACTTTCTAAGCTAAGCATTCAGCGAGCAACGCTTCAAGTTCAGGAAAAAAAAAAGTTGCGGGCGCAGTATTGTACAAGGCGATTCAAACGCACAATGGACAAAGCGGAGCTCAGAGAAGGAACTTTCCAAATTCCATGGTTCGACTTGATGGACGGTGTGCTGGGTCACCGTCCCTCTGTTAGTGGCGACTCGCGAGACAATCTGGACACTATTGCAGGCTGGAGCCACGGCCGGTGAGTTAATATACATGCTATCTTCCTAACTTAAAAAAGAAATAAATTCATAATACCCGCTGAAATGGGTTGGGTTGTATGACGTTTGATTCAGAAAGGCGTGTTAGGGGCGGGGTTTAGGGCAGCGCTGCGGGGCTGCAAGCCCGGTGTTTGAGGCCCGAGGCCACTGGCTCGGCTCGCTGTTAGCCCTGGCCTGGCAGTGGAAACGCGGCTATTGTTTTAGAAATGCCTCAGTGTCCAGAATTGAACACCCGCGAGAAAAGATCAGCATGGCCTGTTTTTCAGTGTGCTCGAATGCGGTTTGAGTGATTATTTGGACTGCATAGTACAGCAGACAGCTTTCCAAACTCAGTTCCTCAGGATGACACTCTCATATCACACTCATATTAAGGCTGCTAGTGAAGCTATGAGCCGATTAATCCAAATTTCTCAGCTTTATACTGCCTTCAAGTCATGTCTAAATGATTGTATTTACCAGATGAGCGCACATGAACGCCACCACAATGCCAGTATTACCAGTGGGGAACTCTGGATTTTCTTTGAGCCCTGACTTTCCTAGTTTTGGAATATTGTAGGAATATTCCTGATCAAATACGCTAATCTTTATGGATGGCAGCTGTCAATTGCCACAGAAAATAATTTAGTAATTTAAAATTAATTTTAGAATTTTAAATTACATTTCCCATGAAGACTGAGAATAGAGTGCAACTGTCAGGTTCCAGAAGTAAATATCCCATTCATTTTCTCCATAGGGAAATTGATGAACCTTTAAAGACAGACCTATTGTGAGGTCTGAGGTTGATAATCAATGATAAATGCTTTCGTTGAAGCCATCAAGGTATATTATTTCAAGTTATTTTTTATATTGTCGAATAATAATTAAAATATTTGTATGCATAATGTTGTATTGTTCACCTTGAATCTGGCCGGTTTGGTTCATGGCTTATAACTCTTTAACAAAGACTTAAAAATGAATGGGAAAAATACTTCTGGAACGGCGGAACCAATGGATGAGCATTGTTGCACCCTGTGGAAATCATGATACAATTCAAATAAAAATCAATTGCACACCTTATACACATTATTCTGTCTCCATTTTGTGTTGCTTCTTTGCTCTGTCAGTAGATGAAAAAAGAAGGGAAGAAATCTGAAATTCTATCCGATCATGAAAAGACCAGGTGTAAATTCCCTCCGAAATGAACAAACCACTTGAGGAGGTTTGCAACGTATTCAAGATGCAACTATACAAGTGTAAATGCGTGTGGTTGAGGAAGCCACATATGTGAACGTTTGGCATCACATCCTGGAGCTCAAAACATTGTCATCTTCATTAAAAGTGGTGAATGCTAAATTCTCACACCAGTGTTGATGCCACTTGATGATTGAAATCAGCTGATGATAAAATGCAATGAATATCTGTTGCTTTTGGTGACATGAACACCATTGAATTTGTATAGTGACGAAGTGAAGATAGAATTTATATTAGTTTTGCAGAAACGCATTTAATGGGTAATGTGTAAATGGAACAGTTAACAGATAATAAGTGTAAATAGTTCCCATTGTGTTCCAAACGATATCACTTGCATTACATACACATTGTCATAATTACATAGTTATAGTTATGAACCCATAAGGCCTGGGACACACTAGATGATTTTCAAACCATGGGAGACCACAGACATAAGGACAGTTTCTACCGATTTTTAACATTATAAACAAACACACACACTAGACTAGATGATTCGGCCACAAACCTGCCGATTATAGTAATGATTTCACCGTGGCAATTCCACAGACACGAGTGCTGCTTCCCAATTCGCCTACTTATACTATGCCCTAAAGTATGTACTGTTTTTGTAAAGAAAAAGTACATACTTTTGAGTGTGTAGCAGAAGAGTAGGACATACTGTACTACTTCGTCATAATAGCGTCTTTAACAGACCACTCTGTCGCTTGGTTACGTGCATCCTGTCACCGTTTAAACTGCCCTGTCAATCATCTTGTCACAGTTCAAATTCTCCACATTCAATTTAATTACATATTCTATCGTTTCTGAGAGAAATGTAGTAGCATCATGTGATCTGCCAGTCATGGGTCTTTCTTGCGGAGAACTCTCCTTATGTTTGCAATTTGCATATTGATGCATTTAAAAGTTAATGATCAAACGTACCTTTACAAGAGTTAACAATGCTGTTACCGATAAATTTGAATGTGGACAACATTGAATAAATGTCTTTTCATCAGGTTATATACTGATTATTAATCACTCAAACCCCTTTAATCTAAACCTCTCTCCTTAGCCGTCGGACTCGCACATCCGCCATGTTTGTAGTTTTTTAACACTTTTATTAGTAGTGTTTGTAGTTCTAATTGAATCCTCATCCAAAGCGCAACGGGTTGTGGCCAATATTAGCCATTTGAATAAGCAGCCCGATCAAGAGTTGTAAATACCGTATCACGTTTGATATTTAAGATTTTGGAGACTCCAGCTCGATCAGGAGCAGTAAAATAATCATAATGACACCACACAATTGAGGATTTTATCAAGCCTCAAATTCGGTGCAACGCACCCCCGATCGTTCGCAATTCGGGCTTAAAATCTTCAAGTGTGTGCAGCATAAATATAAGCTTCCCAAGAGGACTTGCATGCAGAATCAGTTGGACATGGACATGGGATTGAGACTCAAACCGTGTTCCCAATGAGCAGCTCTTACGTATGTGCACAGTCCACTGCGCCACTGTCTCTGACACTAACCGAGTTTTATTAAGCGAAGCTGCAATTCTCAGGACGGTTCAGAGTGTGTTTTAGTCTTCATGACCCTTGACGTGCCGCTTTTACCTCCCGCGCTGCCCTCCTTTGAGAAAGTGTGGCGCAGCTGGCGCTCAATGGAGGAATCACGTGGGTCTGGATCCGTGTGTGAAATCAGATGTTTAACTGGCTGGAAGAGGACGAGCAAGCGCATCTTAACTAGCACCTTGCCAAAGGTCTCTTGTTCAGTCAGCCATCCGCTGGTGCGCAGCACAACTTCCCGTCTGCCAATACACATTACAGAGGATTTAGTAATTAAGTGGTAAGTTGAGGACTAAATTGGGTGTTTGCGGGCCACAGATCTACCCCGAGGTCCCTGCAGCCATGCAGATAGGGGATTCTAATTGCTAGGGATATTGATCATTCCCGGCGAGGGCGTGCTGGGGGATTTCGCGAGCGATCGATTAGCTGTTACCGTGGCCGCTTCGCCAATGGCAGAGAAAGAGGTAAGAGAGCCACGTGGGTCTTTTGCAGGATCTCCCCACGCTCTTCACCTCCTGAAAAAGTGACACATCACCTAGTCAACCGCTCGCTTCGGCGCCCAGACACCCTCTGTAGGACCGCCCTTCACTTGTTTGGGTTTCATCTGAAGGTTGAGGAAGTTCGGGTTGGTCAACACCTCTCATTTCCGCTGCGATAAGCTTTTCTCTTTTGGGAGTGATTTGAGACGCTGTGGTGGGTCTGATTTGTTGTAGTAGGGTGTGATTTGTTGATCCATGCTGAAACGGTGCATGAGCTCATCGTCGCCCTGCTCTCGTAATTAGTCTCGGCCCCGCTCATTAAATATTCACGCTTGCCTACTCTAATTAAATCGAACCTCTCTCTCCTGCTTATCATTCCTACATGTTATCATGCCTCAATTAAGATGCGTTCTGGTCTGTTTCACTGACTAGTCAAGGTGAAGATGTTTTGCTGTGGACTGAAGTGTCCCATTCTCTCATGCCCATACACAATCTTTTCTGTAAATGAAGATTCCGCACTCCATGCCCTGCTAAAAAAAGACCAGCTTAAACTAAACTTGGCCTCAGACAGCCCTAAGTTCGTTCAATAATCATCTGATGCATATTGCACATGAGAATGGTTGGCTGTTAATCAACCCCTTGTGAAAAGGACAATTGTATACTTTTTAAAAAGAGAAATTATTATTGAAATAACATACTACTAAAAGAATATACTTAAGTGTGAACTGAATGTAATGTTTTCGGACACTTAAATGCATCCTAATTTCAATTAAATAAAAATGCATTACTGTTTTGACCCACTTAAGTAGGACTATGAAATATGGTTAAATTTTACTGCTGCATGTACTGGCATATATATATATATATATATATGATAAACTAAAATATTTTACAGTCCTTGTATGTTGCATGTAGTTTCTATAGTAATAACAATAGTTTATGCAGAATTATATACATCTAACCCTAAACCAAACCTTAACCCATAGTAAGTACATGTAGTTAATTCGTATTACTCAGTGCTTAAATGTATAATTGCACTGTAACAAGGACACCTTAAAATAAAGTGTAACCATCATTTCCACTGAAATTGGTATGCTGTATTTAAATATATTTGCAATTACGCATTTGTAATGATGGAATTGCAATTTAGCACATTTAAAACATGTTAACCTTAAATGTTTTATCAAATAACTCACTACAGTTAAAATTATTATCAAATATTTGTGCTTTAGTATGTTATTCAACATAACAAGATAAGTGTTGTACTATAAGTATGCCAAAGGATCATTAAAACAATGATTTACTTTTGCAAAGTGAACTTTTTAAAAGTTTACATAAATGTGTTTAAAAACAGTCATGAAAGAAACTTAATTTATTTATATTATTTTCAAGTACAGTTTTTTTTTTTTAATTTAAAGTACACTACAAGTGCACATTCTATACAATTATGTGTACTTCTTTATAACGAGGGTCTTTTGTAGTAAAGGCACAATAGTCCTATAGAGATATTCTATTACATTTACACATCTGGCAGTCACTCTTATCCAAAGAAGCTTACGCTGTATATTATCTGTTCACACATTATCTGAGAGCCATGCTCTACTGTTTGAGCTACAGGAACAAAAAAGGAAACAAATGCAACAAGCGTTTTTGAGGAAGAACTAATCACTGGATTTGTAAATCTTTACAAGTAGCATCTAATTTACTTGCAAAGGTTTTTGTTGGTAGCAAGTTAATTGGATATCCACAAGCAAAACTGTACTTTCTGTATCTGTAAAATAATGACTTACTAACTAATGAATTCGAAATTATGATTACAGTGTCAAACATTTGCACTTTTTTGCAGTTATTAGTTGTTGTGTAATTATTTGATTACTTTTTTATTGCGGTATAAACTATTTTAGATTTATCTGCCACTAAAAACAATATAAACTGTGACTGATTCTTGGCCAGAATATGATTGAAAGTGTACCAGATTTATACTAGCTGCAAGAGACTAAGCTTAAAGGCTTAGTTCACCCAAAATAAAATATTATGTCATCTACTCACTCTGATGCCGTTTCAAACCCATAAGACTTTTGTTCAATTTTAAACCCAAACCCTTTAAAGGAGAATAAATTCCAGTCTGGTTTATGCTGGTTTGGTAAGATCCTTCTTCCTTTTGGTCTTCCCTTGTGACCTAGGCCCTTGTTTACACCTGATATTAAGATGCGTTTTGATCAATCGGATCACAAGTAGACGAGGGAGACGCATTCCCTTTACACCTGGAGTTTTAATCCATCTCTTTGCCACTTTCAACCACTTCTGTCCTGATTTCTTCAAGGCGAGGGTCTATGGGTGGGTAAATGTTGTTGTTGTTTTTTTCAGATCTTTCTATCTAATGGACAAAATAAGCTTGTGCAATTCACATATGAACACGATCAGAGACGACGGAAAAACATACAGAGAGCATCGGCTTTCGTTTCTGCTCTGATAGACACAAGACCAGCCGGACGCTGTGAGTGTGTGTTAGAAATCAAGAATGGTGAGAGAACATTGTGCTTGGTACGTTTTTTTTTGTCTTCAAACTAAAAGTGGGTCTTCAGCCGACAAAGTTTAAATCCCGTCTGGCTAGAGCGCTTCCCATAATGTGTTCGCATTAGGTCAGTAGGCGGAGAGTTCGAATGCTTTTGACCACTTGAGCGTTTACACCACGAAAGTAATCCGGTCGAATGTGTTTTCGACTACCTCTGGAAGTGGTTGAAAGTGGACGACAAGCTCAACCGTTTTAAACCGTTTCAAACCCCGTTTACACCTGTATTTAGCGACGTCCACTTGTGATCCGATCGACCAAAACGTATCGTAAAACCAGGTGTAAACAGGGCCATACATGAAAAACACCATACACTGGTGACCAGCAGGATGGTGTGGTGATTTCACCTTTATAGTGCTCTCATGTCAGGACTGATGGAGAAGGGAGTTTGGTGAAATAAGACTTGTGTGCTTCTCTACAGGAGGCTGGTAGAGCGCTTGAGAGCAGAGGCCAGCAGCAGCAGATCGGATGTGCTCAGCGCTCAACATGAAGCCGGGAGACTCCAGCAGGAGAAACAGCAGATCCTGGATGAGCTGGACATCAGCAGAGAGACTCTCTCAGCCCTGCAGACTAAGGTGAGAGCCATTTCACACTCGTCCCACACTGATTCGGGGCTTTGAACGGCAGGATTATGAAGCAAAAGTGCTTCACAAAGCCATCTGTAAGGTCATGATCTCCTGTATTGATCTGTATTGATTACTGTGTGCCTGAGGAACGGCGCAAGCTTGCATGTGTGTATATGGTGGATGCATTGTCATGTGTGTATGTGGCTTTGTGGAAGAGCACAAGCTTCACGTGTTCGTGTAAAACCTGATGATCGTGATATCCAGCATGATTTGAGGATAATCCTTTTTGTGCTTCAAGAACATCTGACCGTCAGTTCATATGGTCAGTGTCACACATTTGCTGAATATTAAATATTTCTTCTTTATTTTATATCATATTTTTTCTTTGTTTTAAATCCATTGAATTCTAAAACTTTATTTCTTAGGTTTAAATTAGACTTAATTAGTCTTAATTTTCATTGTGGCCTCTGTATAATGGTGTGAACACGGTAAACATTTTCGGGAAAAAATGTCAACCAAATCGTTTTGTTTTCAACTGAAAATTAATTTTAGCATCCCCAAAGTTATGATTTAATTTAAATGTTGCAAACGTGTACAAATCATGAGGAAATATGATTTGATTGCTTCTCTCGGTGCTGAAGAGATGTTAGTCTGAAGCAAAGCTATTCACTCTAGTTGTAAATTTACTTTTCTATATTTAGAAACTTTCATAGATCTGATGTAAAAGTCTCTTGCTCAGTAACAGTTTCAAATTAATCTCCCTAATCCCAGTTTAATATCTGTCATGCAGGAGTATATCTCTAATTTAGCCAGCCATCTGAGTGAATATGTCAGCCGTGGAGCTCACAGTTTATCTGTGATGCTCTGCACTATCATGAGGATTCAAATATGCCTTGATCTTTTGAAAATAAAAGTGTTTAATGCCGTAGCGTAGCCACAATGGGGCCTGTGGGGGGGGGGACTAGGCCCCCTCATTTAGATGTCCGGTCCCCCATATTTTCTGGTTGTTTAAAAAAAAAAAAAGTGAAATTGTTACTATAATACATTGATTAATCATTGATCATAAAATGCAATGGCTGTTTTCAAACTGGTATTATTTTTGTCACTTATGCTGTCTCCTTTTGCGCATGAGAGTTCATTAATTAACACATGACGATGGAAGGTGCACAAATTCCAATATCCCGCTTTTTCAGTAAATCACGAAAAGCCTGCTTCACCTTTCCAGGACGATATCAATACTGATTAATGCGTGCAGTAGCTGCGTGTTTGACTGGTGTTCTGGTTTTTATTTTTTCAAAAGTCAAGCTGAGGGTGCCATGTGAACACTGGTGTTTCATTTGAAGAAGCATAACAACACATTTTCCTTAAACGTCTGCATAGGAAAATTGAAGATGGTCACTGTTTCTCTTCCCTAATGGAAGTTTTGAACACTTGATGTCTTTCCAAACATGAGTAGACTGTAAAAGATAATAAGTTATTGCGTTTAAAGACATTCGCAACAAGAAGCCATAGGCAGTGTGATCATTATCTTTTACATTCAACTCATGTTTGGGTACGTACATACTGCCTGGCCAAAAAAAAAGTTACTGTTCGGATTTAAATAGGCAAATGCTTAAGATATACAGTCAATGCAAATGACTGTATATCATCTGGCATGGAAAGAAAGCTTGGGAGAATATAGGACTGAAATTGTATCGAGAAGGTCTGCTCATTTCTCTCAGATTATTGCAAGTAATCAAGATAACCCAAGAAAATTGTTTAATTCTATCAATAATTTTCTAAACAGAAATAACATTTCCAACGTCCCTCCTTCTGTTCAACTTTGTAACAAGTTTCTTGTGTTTTTTGGTAATAAGATCGAGGGGATACGAGATCAGATTACTACTACTAATACAACTGTTACCCCAAAATTAAGCAACATGGAATTTTCTGGTGTTTGTCTTTCAGAATTCTCCATGTTAGATTCTCAATCCCTGTGTAATGTGGTTTTAAAAATGAAGGCTGCCACTACAAGTGTTGATCCCATACCAGCTGGGTTGTTTCAGTCATGCTTTTCTTCTTTGTGTCCGGCTGTATTGAGTATTATAAATGACTCTCTGCTGTCTGGTGTTATGCCATCTGCACTTTGCTGCTGTAACCCCTGTTCAAAAAACAAATAGCCGGGACTTTGAGAATCTGGCAAATTTTCCGTCCCATTTCTAGTCTCCCTTTTATTGCTAAAATCTTAGAACGTATTGTTGCTTCACAATTGCTTTCTCATTTGTCTGCAAATAATCTCTTCGAGTCTGTTCAATCTGGCTTTCGTAAAATGCATAGCACTGAGACAGCATTAGTCAAAGTTACAAATGACTTATTGATGGCTTCCGATGCTGGATGCTTATCAATACTGATTCTGCTTGATCTCAGTGCCGCTTTTGACAGTATTGATCATAGCACCTTACTCTCACGCTTAGAGTCTGTCTTTGGTGTGTCTGACTCTGCTTTGAGCTGGTTTAAGTCTTATTTCTCAGATCGCAAACAATTCGTTGTGTTAGGTGGCTGCAGATCTGAGGTTACCATGATAAAATGTGGTGTTCCTCAGGGTTCAATTTTGGGTCCCTTACTTTTCACTCTTTATATTTTTCCTCTGGGCCAACTCTTGAGGTCTTTAGGTCTTGATTTTCATTTTTATGCGGACGACACCCAGATATATGTTCACTCAAAATCTGATGTAAATGTGGCTGTATCACATCTCTCTAACTGTATCACAGTTATTAAAAATTGGATGTCTGCAAATTTTTTAAGTTTAAATGGTGACAAGACCGAAGTGATGCTTATTGGTTCGCCTCACCAGTTATGCAGAGTGCAACCTGAAGTGTTACATGTGGATGGCTCTGTAATCCAGTTCCAATCTAAATTAAAAAACTTGGGAGTAATTTTCGATTCTAATTTAACTTTTGATCTTCACGTACGTAATACTGTTAAAGTTTCTTTTTTTCATCTTAGAAATATATCCAGATTACGGCCCATGCTGTCTTTTCCTGTAGCTGAAAAATTAATTAATACTCTGGTTTTTTCAAGAATTGATTACTGCAATGCCTTGTTAGCAGGAGCATCAAAATCTATTTTGAATAAACTTCAGTGGGTACAAAACTCTGCCGCACGTATTCTGACTAGAACAAGACAAAGGGATCATATAACACCTATTTTAGAGACCTTGCATTGGTTACCTGTTAAATTTCGTGTTGATTTTAAAATTCTTATGTTGACGTACAAGGCATTGAATGGACTCGCTCCGCAATATCTCGCCGAGCTTTTAATGCCTACATTCCGACACGTAATCTTCGCTCCGCCGATGCTGGTCTCTTAGTCGTTCCGGTAACGAACCGAAAAACAATGGGTGATAGGGCGTTCTCTTCAGTTATGGAACTCCTTGCCTTCCGAAATAAGATTTGCACCATCTTTGAAAAGGTTTAAATCATCCCTTAAAACGTATTATTTTACGGAAGCATTTGGATAAAGGTGATATTGGTGGTTGTTAATGAGATGTATCTTATGGGTTTCTCTATGTCTTGATATTTATTTTTAAATTTGTTTTTAGGTTTGCAATTTTGTGCGAAATACTTGTTTGTATTTTGCGACCATTTAAAAAAAAAAAAAATTATGTGTTTTCTTATTTCCGCTTATGTAAAGCGCTCTGAGAATTAACTTTAAAAGCGCTATACAAAATAAAGTTATTATTATTATTAAGAGTCCATGAGTGGATCATTATTCTAGTGACTATTATGTTTCTAGCATGTTATATGAGTGTAGATTTTCATTTCTTAAAAAACCCAGACCTTAAATTCATTGAAAGTCTTCGGGGTGTGCTGGAGGAGGCTTTAAAGAGTTCTGGACTCTTGCATTGTCAATACAAGATCTTGACCAAAAATGGATGCACCTCTTGATGAAAATAACATCTCGACATTTACTTGTCAAATTAAATTAATCAAAATTGAAAACTCTTGTACTTTCCGAAATCCTTGGATTTCTGATGTCAGCAAGAAAGAATGAATTACATTAATACATTTACACATCAACAATGCCTGGTCATTGTTCAGAAACTTTTCCCACCAAGCAATAAGAAAGCAGAATATATGCTATTATTTTTAAAAATGGGAACAACAAATAATACTCGAACAAAAAAAATCCTTATAATGTACTTCACATTGAAAAGTTCTGAAAAATATGATTTTTCCCCCCTCACAAAACGCAACATTTGTTCACAATGGCAATAAACAGTGATATTATAACAAATTAAAGGTAAACCATTTCAGATATAGATGAAGAATATCATAAAAAAATGTGCTTGTCAGCTGGCCTTCTCTATGTGTTTGTGTAGCTGTGTGAACAGGAGAAGCTTCTAAACACACACCAGGATCTGCAGCTCTTCACACACAGACTTCAGGAGGAAGGACTGAACTGCCAGACTCAGCTTCAACTGTGCAGGAGACAACTGGAGACCAGAGATGACCAGGAGCAAAAACACCACCAACAGGTATTATGGGAACGTCACATATTAAAGGGATACTTCAGGATTTAGCATTAAGCTTTGTATTAGTAGAAAACCTGTAGTATTTTCAAATTACAGCGCTTTCCACCCTCATATCCCCCTGAGACGAGAGATTTATGTATTTTTTGTCTGGAAAAAATCCTCCGATGACGCAAAAATCGTCATTTTGCATCATCGGAGTATTTTTTGGCCAGAGGCTAAAGACTACAGTCAGTAGAAGGATCTGTCCCGCATGTTCTCAACCCGCCCATAGAGGGTGTGATCTCACTCACAGAATACACACATAGTGTCAGCCATCTTTTTTGGAAGCTAAGCTAGCAGGCTCTTGTTCTGTGGAGAAAGCTGAGTAGTAGGGGTTACCATCCCCTTTTTCCGTCGAGATCGTACAAAATGTCCTGGATTCAGCTTTTGCTTTCTGCTGTCGCCATTCATTGTTTACATGCACACCTTTTGTTTCAATCTAACTGAATTCATTCCGATTGGTGAATCTGAATGAGGTGTTTACATGAACGCTAAACAAGTGATCGGTTGATGTGCGTTTTAACATTGCTAAGAATTCCCGCTCCTCCGTGAGAGATACGAGACCGGTGCGTCTCACAGGTGTCGCTCATCGGTAATCACGCCACCGGCCTCGCGCCGTTCGCACTGTTCTCCCGCGGCCCTAGCCTCGTCCTGCTCGCCACAGTAAACATGATGAATGGCGACTGTAGAACGCAAAAGCCGAATCCTGGACATTTTGGGCGATCTCGAAACACATCTTCAGGCAGACTCATCGCGGAGACTCACTAGTAGCCTAGACTTGTTGTTTAACACTGCGCTCTGTTACCGGTAGGCGTGGCCTCCTAGGGTAGCGAAGCAAGTGCATTCTGGGAGTTGTTGTCTTTCATCCACATAAGCCAAAAATACATTTTCTGGCTTTTCTCAGTCTAGAAAGCTCCAAATTCAAAAATAATTTCACATTTCTTCTACATAAATGACCCATTTTAAATACACATTCATCTTTCCAGAGGTGAAGTATCCCTTTAATATGCTAGTCCAAACTGCTGCTGACATGATTTCTAACCCTTCCGAAGCTGATACAAACTGGTGGTTGATCATTGGACTATGAGTTAGTAGGGTCAAAGTTGGCCATACTGATTAACCTGGGAAAAGGAATTTTTGAATTCCTCTGTGATATTTTATGATGACCTACACTAATGATAAAAGTTTGGGGTTTGCAGGATTTCTTAATGTTTTTAAAAATAATCTCTTCTGAATCTCTTGATGAGTCGGATTTATGAACTTTGATGAAAATTTGAAATGATAAATGTCTTTACTGTCACTTTTGATTTATTGAATGCATCCTTGCTGTATAAAAATTCGTACTGACCCCAGACTTTTGAACGGTAGTGTGTGATATGTGCTCTTTGGCTCAGATGAGCAGTCTGCAGGCTACAGTGTCCAGACTGAAGCTTGATCTGGAGCAGGAGCGGGAGAGGTGGCGTCAGGCGGTACGAGAGGCAGCCAAGGCCGATCAGAGAGGCAGAGAGCTGAGACTGGAGCTCAGCACAGCACAGGCCACTCATAAAGAGTACATGGAGCTGGTACGATCTCTTCCACTGCCACAGACAACGTGATCGCTCCTAACACACAAATATCAACATGCGTTCTGCGTGTTGTAGCTGGCGGAGTACAGTGGAGAGGTGGCGTCCCAGAGGAGTGAGCAGGCCCGTCTGCAGCAGTGCCTGATCCAGCTGACGGAGGAGAAGAAGGCTCAGGACGAGCGAGTCACACAAATGAGTGCAGATCTACAGAGACTGCACAGTGAGAGCAGGAGCTCTGAGGAGGAGGTAAGATATTGGGATACACTTCTTTTTTTTTTTTTTTTTTTTTAAAGCAATTTACATTGCATTCAATAATACATTTGTATTATTAGTTCATGCATTCCCTGGGAATCGACGCCATTATCTCCCGAGTATTGCTATACTTTCTTATCCACATGAACAGCAGCCACTCGTGCCATTACTGATGTTTTTTTGCAGCTTTGTATAGTAGATGTATATGTATGGTCTTAATTTAATTAGAAATGGAATTTGCAAAAATGCCGTTCCAAAACCCTATAAGACTTTATTCATTTTCATCTTCTAAACACAGATTTCTGTCCCTCAATTGAAGACCTACGCAAAATTTTCATTAAGACATAAAATCATTTAAAAGAGTCGAATCCAACACTTCAGAAGAGCCGCGATTTCTTTATAAGATGAACAGATTTAATTAAGAATTTTATTCACATATAAAAACACACATTCATAGAGCACATCACAAACGGTCATCATCATATAAAGTGATATTATCTCTTTGCAAGATTTGGATGAAACTGCTAATTTCATATGGATTTGTTTTACGGGCGAATCCATAGCCCATACGAAGTTTTGTTTATACAAAGAATACAAAGGAGGGAGAGAAACCTCTCAGGTCTAAATTTTGGTTTCGAAAATGAACAAGTCTTCTGGGTTTGGAATGACATGAAGTGAGTAAATGATGTCAAAATTTTTGGGTGAACTATCCTATTAAGTAACTCCTAAACTTATAGGGAAATGGTTGGCTAATAATAATGTTTTGAAATCCCCAAACCTAATCCTAAAATCTGATCCGTTGATGAGAATGTTGTTCCAGAACCAATGAGTATGGAGTTCTCTGACTTTGTCAAACCCCTCTGTGACACTTCATCCTGAAGTGCCTGAAATGTGTGCAAAACCGCAGTGCTCCTGCAGACAGTAGAGTTATTTAAACCACTCACTCTCATTCTTTAAGTGCTGTCAGTGTTGTAGGGGAACTCTAATTGGTTTTGGATAACCATCCTCATCATTTTATGGTCAGCAAACTCTGCGGGATAACAATAAAACTGAAAAATAAAAAATTAAGTGTCTGCACACTGTCCAGGCCCTAATGTATACATGCGCACACAAACATACACACACCGCGCCACCGGTCGGACTGCAGAAATAATGATTATGCGCGTGTTGTGCATCGGTTGTCTGTTTTCAGCTCTGGCTTTTAAAAATAATTGCTGTTGGTTCTGCAGCCGTATCAGAGGAAGGCCAGTAATGATTCTCGCCAGTCGTGTGGAACGCAGCATGCGGGGAAGCGGGGCGAGACAGACGCCAGAATAAAGGCGGCTATCATTTCTGTGTGTGTGTTTGTCTGCCTGGCACATAATTATGGTTGCATAAGCGTGTGTGTGTGTGTGTGTGTGTTGGTAGAGGTGCTATAATTACAGTGAGGTGTGTGTGTTTGCAAATATTCTCCAGCCCCTGTTTATAAATCAGGTGTGAATTGAAGAAACTGATGAGTCGAGAATCTCATTTGAGTGTGTGTGTGTGGGATCACAGAGGGATTAGAGTTGGATATAAAGCTGCACAGGTGACTACATCATAACCCACTTACACACACACACACACACATATACTCGCACAGCATTTTAATTGTCTTTCTCCTTTTCTTTACCGCCTTTTATTAGCTCTCGTCTGCAGTGTGTGCGCTCTGGGTAAAGGTCACTGCGCTCCACCATCTTGCACACTGACAGCGTTACTGGCCATGAAACTAGCCTGCCTTTTAATTTAAGCTGAATTCTCATATGCTGAAAACCTGAGATCTCATATGAGGTAAAATTGTGTGAGCTGCTATAGATTTGCCACATCATAAGAGTGTAATAGTGATTTGTTGAGGGATAGAGATTTTAACGCAGCTGAAGATTGTCGACGCTTATATATATTGTGTTCTTTGCCTGCAGAGGAATATTATCAACATATTATATACCCCAAATGTGCCTGCGTGTGTGTGTCTGTGGCCTGGTAAACCCTGTTATGGGGATACAATTTCCCCACAAAGATGGTAATATCTGAAATCCTTGTCCTTGTGGGAACATTTTCTAAACCCTTGAGGAAAACAGCTTTTTAAAAATGTGAAAATGCAGAATATTTTCTGTGATGGGTTAGTGTTAGGGGACAGAATATACAGTTTGTGCAGTATAAAAACCATTATGTCTATGGAAAGTCCCCATGAAACGTGAAAACACAATGTGTGTGTGTGTGTGTGCATACACAACTGGTCAAAAGTTGTTGTTTTTTATGTTTTTAAAGGTCTCTTATGCTCACAAAGGCTGCATTTATTTGATAAAAAAAAAACAGTAAAAAAAGGACATTGAATTATTATTACTATTTACTTAGTTGCTATTAAAGCTGTTTTCATTGTAGTGTATTTTAAAATCTTAATTATTCCAAATTTATATATAGAGAGAGATTATATATATATACTGCTACAGTATATTATAGCAATGTTTATTTGATCAAAAATACAGTAAAATTTTATTTATATGTATTATTTAGTAATATTGTGAAATATCATTGCAATTTAAAATAACTGTCTTGTATCTGAATATATTTTCAAATGTAATGTATTCGTGTGATGTGATGGAAAGCTGAATTTTCAGCATCATTACTCCAGTCTTCAGTGTCACATGATCCTTCAGAAATCATTCTAATATGCTGATGTGCTGCTCAAGAAACAGTTATTATTATTGTTCAAAACAATTGTGCTGCTTAATATTTTTGTGGAAATCGTGTATATCGATGTATAGAATGTTCGAAAGAACAACATTTATTTGAAATAGAAATATTTTGTAACATTGTGAATGTCTCTATTGTCACTTCTGATGAATTGAATGCATCCTTGATGAATAAAAGTGTTAATTTCTTTCAAAAAACAAAACCAAAGCAGTGTTTTGAAACTAACACAGAGCCACGCTGTGAGACAACAAATAAACGGCTAATGTGTAGTCATATTCCCCACTTATATATATACATTATATTTGAGATTTTAACATCAGCAAAACTTTACCTTTAATTATGTCCTAGTTTCTCTCTCCGTCTGTCCCGTCAGGCTCGTGCGAGTGAGGGCCGACTGGCGGAGCTGCACACACAGCTGTCCCGCTCTCAGCAGTGGACACAGGAGCTCATGAGCGTCCTGCGGGACAGAGAGGAGGAGGTGCTGCTGCTGAAGATGGAGACGGCCGCTCTCAGAGAGAACTACACTGATAAAGTAGCTCAGGTCAGCCACAGTATCCTAACACCATTCATATCATTCTGCTGTGTTTGTGTTCATTCATCTCTTCATGCGCAGGTTGAGGCTTTGCACTCACAGATGGACAGTGTTGATCAGAAGTATAACGCAGCTGTGTGTGAAGTGGATGTTTTGCGGCAGTGCTTAGGAGACGCACGGAGTGACAGCTCTCGACTTCACAGGGAAAGTCAACTAGTCGTGACCAATGTGAACCAATGGGTAAAGGAGCAAAAGTAAGACATGCAATCATTCAGTACCACGATATTGCCATCTGGTTTACCACAGCACTTCACAAGTCTAAAAAGCTAAACACACAGCTGTCTGGAATACTTGAGTCTGATTGGTTGACTACTCTACAATTATTCCACAAGCAAATATTGTAGCATAATGACCACTAAAGTATACAATTAATAATCCCAAGCAGTGTCATTATTGTTAACTAAAACTATTAAGAGTTATTTTCGGTAATTGAAATTGAGCTGATATACAACTTATTTCTTTTAATTGTTAAGAATAAATATATATATATAAACAATTGTGATGCTTAATTTTTTTGTGGACATCGTACTACATTTTTTTCAGGATTCTTTGATGAATAGAAAGTTCAAAAGAACAGCATTTATTTCAAATATAAATATTTCATAACATTGTGAATGTCTTACTGTTTCTTTTGATCAATTTAATGCATATATGCCTCAACAAAATTTGATGAAGCTGTACTAAAACTACAACTAAAAATACGAGAAATATTAAAAATGAATAAAAATAACAAATACACATTATTTACAACTTTGAAACTCAGTTTTTACAGTGTATCTAATTTAATGTCTCAAGTATCCCTCCACCTTCTCATATTACTAAATAATTTTAACTCAATTCAATATTTCATGTCCATTTGTGAATTCATATTTTGTAAATATTATGTAGTTTGTAAGGAACCGTGTAATTGACGGCAAATTGTACAGTCAATATTGTAAAATAAACTCCATCATACCTCCCCCTTTTGGTGTTTGTTTTGCAATAATGACCTAGCTGTGTGTTTTCCCTTACGTAACATCAAATCTGGCTTCTTACTGCATAACGTGTCACAGATTGTATCACATGTTACAGTGTTGGAACCAGTATATAAATTTACGGAGTATAGAAAGTGTCTGTGGCGCATCAGAACTTTAGCATCCAGTGTTATAATGGCTGTATCATTATCATTCAGCATCATGGTTGATTGTGACTGCAGCTCACAGCTTCCTCACTGCAGCCCATTATCTGTGCCCCTGCTCCTCTCCAGGCACACTAATGAGAAACTGGCACTCAAGATCAAAGACCAGAGCAGGAAGATCATCCACCTGACAGCCGAGAGAGAGTAAGCCCCGCTCACCCTGTCCAACGCTCCTCTCAGCTCCCAGTGTGTACAAACATGGAGTTCAGCTCCAAGTAGCAGGGAAATGTGCATGCAAACATATGGAGAAATGGGTGCGCTTGTGTGAAATGGGATTTGGCTGTAATGTTTGTCCTGTTTTCATGCAGTCACCTTCAGGAGAATGTGAAGGGTTTACATGGGGAAATCAGGAGGCTGAAAGCAGAGAGAATGGAAGCAGAGCGACTGAAGGTAAAGCCCTGAACACACTCCACCGCACATCTCCATCGATTTTTTTTAAATCCACATCAATTTCTAAGTTGAAGACGGCATGAAACGGAAGTTTTGACTCCGTATTGTGACGCATTTATGAGTGAATCAAGTTTTGAGCAAGAAAAAAAACAGGTGGGGGCATGAATTTCTAAAAAAGTGAGCGTTGCATAGAGGAATGGAGGCGGATCTCAATGCGATTGGCTTAGCTGCAGCGTGGCCTTGCGTACGTCATGGATGTCGAACTAGTCATAAGAGCAAGTTTTGACATTTTGATTAACTTTTGAACTGTATAGTGTATATATTGCTTTGACAAATTAGAATAAATCTTTAAATTAAACTGAATTGATTAAAAGTGAGTCGATTCTAAATATTTCAAATAAATTCTGATCTTTTGATCTAAAATAAAATGTATCGCGGTTTTCAGCTCTGCCATCACAAAAATGAATTGCCTTTTAAAATATATTGTAAAATGTAGTAATGTTGACACATTTCACTGTATTTTTATCAATTAAATAGAAAATCTTACCGATTTGACCAACCCCAAACATTTGCACGGTGTTATATAAATGCACAATAACACTAGTAACGTGTTAAAATAAATAGCTATCTAGCTATAGCTATTAATAAATAAATATCAATTTTGATTTCATGCCGACTTCAAATTTTATATTAAATATTATAGTAACATGTAAGGGGAAAGTGTACATCTCATATGCTGTCAGCATTTTTAGTCACTTTTCATTCACAATCATTGTTTGATCATGTTAGTTCACCGTGCATTAACAATATTTTAATAAAGTATTAGTAAATGTTGAAATTAGCATTAACCCTCATGTGGTCTTCGGGTCATTTTGACCCGGAGAAGATTTTCTTTTTCCCAAAAATACTGGCTAATGTTATCGCATTGGACTGAAACTTAGTGACTTTGTTCCCAAAGGGTATAACTACTTCTCAAATGTTTTTTGAAAAATTTCGTACTTTTTTTAGGGGGGGTTTGTTACCTTGTTACACTTGTGGTCTTCCCGGGTCAAAATGACCGGCCTATAAAAAATAGCTTATAAATCACTCATTATACCATATTTTCACCAAATCTTGGATTCAATCTTTTTGTCAACTTGTTCTCGTTCAATTAGGACTGGTTTTGTATTTTCATTTGCATCTGATTAATCGTGGGCCTCATTTATCTAAGAGTAGGCATCTCATTTTTTTGAGTAAAAAAATGGTCTTCCCGGGTCAAAATAATGCTTTTTTCACTCAAAAACTAAGGTGCATAAGCTCGGATAAATGACTCCTACAATTAAACCATTTGAAAATTAAATACAAAACCAGTCCTAATTGAAAGAGAACAAGTTGACAAAAAGATTGAATCCAAGATTGGGTGAAAATATCGTATAATGAGTGATTTATAAGCTATTTTTTATAGGCCGGTCATTTTGACCCGGGAAGACCACAGGTGTTATAGGGTTTTGAACACCACATGAGGGTTAACAATGCATTAATAAATACTGTATAAGTCCAGTTCATTATTAGTTAATGTTAACTAATGTTGTTAACTAATGAACCTTGTTGTAAAGTGTTACCAAAAATATTTTGTCATCTGCCCTCTAGCCTTCTTATTTTATTTGCAATGATCAAGTGTATTTCGTGTTAACCGCAGCACCTCGTATAGTTAGAGTCGTCATTGAGTGAATATTAACATTCACCTTTGTGGCCGTATCACATTCTCCCCCAAATCTTCCATATAAACAGGTCTTATATGCAGGTTTTGCCTCGAATCACCTGTCCAGTTTGATCTTTCTTCTCCTCCTCTTATATTTCCTGAATGACCCAATGCTGGCCATTTCCTATTACACCTCTCCTTTTCATTATTTTTTTCTCTCTTCCTCCATTCTCTGTTATCCCGTCCTCATGCATAGCATCAAGCGAGACCGTCTTTGTTGTGATTAGGTTGGTATTTCTATCAGATGCAGAGAAAAGGTGTCCTATAACCACAGTTGAAGGTCCATGTCACCATTAGCCATCTCATTCTGGAGTGCCTGTCCTCTCGCCGCCGAATGATCCGGCTCTGTAGGTACAGGCTTATCCTCTGTAATAGGGTCTGATCTGATTCACACTTGTGAAATTGGAAAGGAAAAGTTTAGAGATGATTGAGAACTTTAGCCATGGTAGAAGCCGAGGGCTGGAGCTGCGGCTCTGAACCCAATCATTCAGGCATTGTTGACCGTGCTGATGAGGGTGGAATCCATTCTGCTCCCTGTTTGTTCTGAAGGTCCAGAACCTGCTCCACATGCCACCTTATTCCATTATTGATAATAGAGAGAGCAAGAGCTAGAGAGTCAGAGACCTGCTCAGGGCCTGACTTAACAGAGTTATACTACTTCAGAAGAGTCAAAGAGAAGTTGAAGAGCTGGTATTGTTACCCCAGAAAGAGTCTTGACTAATAATGCATACAGTGGTTGTAGGTTGCATGTTGTCCCGTATGGAAACAGCTCACCCAAAATTGAATGTTCCTCATGTTGTTCCAACCCTCTATGACTGCCTTGGAACACAAAAAGGTGTGACATGTTCTCCGTCAGGTTTGATGTCGGTGATATTTGGTCATGCGACACTTGAGAACAAGTTAAGTTTGGCATTAATTGAAATGCCACCAATGACATGGACAATTTTAGTCTGTTCCTCGCATCTATCGTGTGACTTGGAATATATCTACAAAACTGCTTCACTGCTTAGTAATATTTGAAGAAAAAAATTGTCAACAAATCATGTGGTCCAACCAACATGCAGAAAAAAATTAAATACAACTGGAAATGATATCATAGGACCACTCATGATTAAGTGTCTCTTAAAATATCAGATAATTTGACATTATGTTTCAATTTCAAGGTTAGTTAAAAATGTCATGTGGTGCGACTCCCGAAAACTTCTTCTTTCATAATATTTACTTTTTATGAAAATAATGATAAGGATGTGTGCACTTGTGTGTATTTAAGGTACAATGAATATTTTGCATGTGATGGTCACACCACATGAAATAAATACCAAGTATTTTGTAACAGTGTTATCTTATTTATATACTATTATAGTATATATTAATATTTTGAATTCGCATTTATTTGTATATTTTTAGTTTTCATTTTAATTTTAATGTTTTACTTAGCTCTGGTCTTAGTTAAATTTAGCTTTAATTCGTTTTTATTTCAGTTTTAGATTTAGTCATTTTAGTACCTCAACTGAAACTGAATTTCAGTTATATGAGCAACATTTCTCATTTTCGTTTAGTTTTTATACATATTTCATTTCAAATTACAAAAAAAAAAGTTTTAGTTATCAATAGTATCTCTGATTTCTAAGAACTTGGCACATGTGTTTTAAACTAGATTGTCAATAGATTTTTCTTTTTCTTCTTCATGGGCACTCCTTACTTTGACCCATAATTAACCCATAAACTATTTTATGGTGCTTTATTTATGGTGCTTTTTTCATATTTATTCAAGTTAACTATATGGAAAAGAAGGACCAAGATATTCTTAAAAAAAAATCATTGGTAACACTTAAATTTAAGGTGACGTAGTTACACATTACTAACATGTACTTACTATAGTAATGACAGTAAATTATTAGGGCTGTCAGTTAAACGCGTTATTAACGGCGTTAACGCAAACCCATTTTAACGGCGTTAATTTTTTTATCGCGCGATTAAAGGTCTTTTTGGCCTAGCAAACTTTGTCGTTTTTTTTTCACATGCTTTTGCAACAGGACGGCATGCGGGCCGCATCGCTATGAAACCCATTCATTTCAATGGCTTGCGGCGCGAGGACGTTTTGAAAGCGCAAGCGGATCTAGCTAGACCGGAAACAAAACAACAGGCACGCCGCACACACTTGTTTGGGCTTGCGAGCCGAATGCGCGAGCGCGAATCTCTCTGCTCGAGTCGCGCGCGCTCTCAGATACACGCTGCTCTTGTAAGAATTTTCTCTGGGCTCACTCAGAGAATATGCCTGCACTTAAAACGTGTTCAGTGCAATCGCGAATCTCTCCTCTTCCCCAGCTAACAATTTTAGGTTATAAGAATGTTTTCATAACGTTCCCATTAAGTTATAAAAACGTTATTTCTGAATGTTATAGGAACGTTCAAAACGTCCAGTTTTGAGTGGATGACGAGCGTGAGACGCCGAAATGGATGCCAATAAGATTCTGAATGGAAAGTTTACTTTTAAAAAGTTGCCAAATGGTTCCATTGACAAGACCAAAGTGATCTGTGTGTTTTGTCGTTGTGAACTGAGCTATCATCATCGCAGCACGTCCAGTCTGAATACCACTTGATGATGGCCAGCACACACACACACACACACACACACACAGAGCTGATGCGAATTCTCCGCCCCCTCGTCAATATCAGGACCTCGTCAGTATTTATTTCACCCTTTTATTGATGGACAGTGTTATATTGTGTGAGAGATTATTTGCTCCAAGTGATAATGTTTTAGTGTGAAATTGAACAGTATATGCCAATATTGTTTTCAATAAAAAACATTTGCACAAAGCAAGCCGATCCACTTTTCCATGTTGATAAGAGCATTAAAATGAGAAAAAAATAATGGGACAAAAAGAAATCAAGAGACATTTAGAATAGATAAAAATGTGCGATTAAATGCGATTAATCGCGAGTTAACTATGACATTAATGCGATTAATCGCGATTAAATATTTTAATCGTTTGACAGCACTATAAATTATGCAACTAACCCTAAACCAAACCCTAACTCTATAGCAAGTACATGTAGTTAATTAATATTATATAATAAGTTCAATGTACGTCACCTTAAAATAAAGTGTAACCTATTTTATAGTTTACAGGAAAAAAAAGTATGATTTGTAATAACATGAGGCTAAATAATGATAAAATTTAGGAATTTTGAATTTACCTTTGAACTAAGTTACCTAAGTGTACATTCTTGTTGATAGATGAGAAACCACTCGAAAGGACAAACA